TTTCCGTTGGTCTCCTGGGCGTGGCCACTGATCTGGAAGTTGAGCTGCGACGGGTCGACGGAGCCGTTGGGGGCGGAGTCACCGGGAGAGATCGCCCCGCCCACCTCCTTCTCGGGCGCCGGCATGGTCATCTCATTCTCGAACTTCTGGTACTGGATCCTGCAGAGAGGGGGGGGGGAGAAGAAAAAGTGGGCGGTTAGGAAGAGGGGAAGAGGTAGGTGGGCGTGTCCTTTTTATCTACTTTTTTTTTGGAGGGTGGTGTTGGTGATGATGATGATGATAATGGTGATGGTGATGGTGATGGTGATGATGATGATGATAATGGTGATGGTGATGGTGATGATGATGATGATAATGGTGATGGTGATGATGATGATGATAATGGTGGTGGTGATGATGATGGTGATGGTGGTGATGATGGTGATGAAGAAGAAGAAGAAGATGAAGATGATGATGATGGTGGTGATGGTGATGAAGAAGAAGAAGAAGAAGAAGCAGAAGAAGAAGATGAAGAAGAAGAAGAAGAAGATGAAGATGATGATGATGGTGATGATGGTGATGATAAAGATGATGAAGAAGATGAAGATGATGATGATGGTGATGGCAATGATGGTGATAATACTAATGATATAATATTAATGTTAATGATAATTACAATAACTAATAATAATTATGATAACACAATAAAAACGATAACCATAGCCCTCTCATCCCCCATCCATATATAATCCTCCTGTTGACCAAGAAAAGTGTCAAGTTACTGCAAGATTTGCAATATACATCCTCGAAAGCGTCAAGAATGATTTACTCTCTGCAATAAAGTCAAGGCGCACCAAAATTTGTATTTTTCCCCTTGATATTCTATACTGCAGAGGAGGCTCCATTCAATGATGCTGACTTATGTTGCAACTTATACTGCAGTTACGATAACGTATTCCAATTTTCTGCCCTCTCTGTTTCTGTTTATTTACTTATTTCTTTTGTTTGCTTGTTTATCTATCCACTCGTGTTGCATATTGTTTCGTATTGCATATTGCAGGATGAAAATCTTTCTGATTGTTTTTTTTCTGTTTATTAGTTTATCTCTCTATCTATTAGTCTCTCTATCTACATATCCATCTATTTCTTTCGTGCTTTTTTCTGTAAAAAGACAATTAAATCGTCATCAAAATTTAATAAAGATTAGAATAAATATTAAAAATTATACAGCCAATGCTAAAATAAATGACTCAAAGGTAATGACTGCAGTTATTTTGGGTTCGTGTAATAAATACAAAAACAAAGTTGCCATGTATTTGCTGTTTAGTTTAAGCAAAAGGAGAGAGAGAGAGAGAGAGAGAGAGAGAGAGAGAGAGAGAGAGAGAGAGAGAGAGAGAGAGAGAGCGAAGGAGAGAGAGGGGAGAGAGAGAGAGAGAGAGAGAGAGAGAGAGAGAGAGAGAGAGAGAGAGAGAGAGAGAGAGAGAAGAGAGAGAGAAAGAGAGAGAGAGAGAGAGAGTAGGCGAGAGAAGAAGAGAGAGCGAAGGGGAGAGAGGGAGAGAGAGAGAGAGAGAGAGAGAGAGAGAGAGAGAGAGAGAGAGAGAGAGAGAGAGAGAGAGAGAGAGAGAGAACAAGAAGTGGAGGAGAAAGAAAAGCAGAGAAAGAGGAAAGTGGAGAGAAATAATATAACTGAAATAACAATATGAATATGAAACGCCATAACTCAAACATAAAAAGGAAAATAAATAAATGTAATATACATCTTAGGAACAAAATAAAATATGCTGGATACACTATTCCGTTATGATTATGCTTTAGGAGGAAGAGAGAGAAGAGAGAGAGAGAGAGAGAGAGAGAGAGAGAGAGAGAGAGAGAGAGAGAGAGAATGAAAGAGAAAGAGAGAGAGAGGGAGAGAGGGAGGGGAAGAGAAAGATTCATAATAATTATCATAATAATAACAATAATAATAATAATAATAATAATAACAATAATAATAATAATAATAATAACAATAATAATAATAATAACAATAATAATAATAATAATAATAATAATAATAATAATAATAACAATAATAATAATAATAATAACAATAATAATAATAATAATAATAATAATAACAATAATAATAATAATAACAATAATAATAATAATAATAATAATAACAATAATAATAATAATAATAATAATAACAATAATAATAATAATAATAACAATAATAATAATAATAATAACAATAATAATAATAATAATAACAATAATAATAATAATAATAATAATAATAACAATAATAATAATAATAACAATAATAATAATAATAACAATAATAATAATAATAATAATAATAACAATAATAATAATAATAACAATAATAATAATAATAATAATAACAATAATAATAATAATAACAATAATAATAATAATAATAACAATAATAATAATAATAACAATAATAATAATAATAATAACAATAATAATAATAATAATAATAACAATAATAATAATAATAATAATAACAATAATAATAATAATAACAATAATAATAATAATAACAATAATAATAATAATAATAATAACAATAATAATAATAATAACAATAATAATAATAATAACAATAATAATAATAATAACAATAATAATAATAATAACAATAATAATAATAATAATAATAATAATAACAATAATAATAATAATAACAATAATAATAATAATAATAATAACAATAATAATAATAATAATAATAATAATAATAATAATAATAATAATAATAATAATAATAATAACAATAATAATAATAATAATAATAATAATAATAATAATAATAACAATAATAATAATAATAACAATAATAATAATAATAATAATAACAATAATAATAATAATAACAATAATAATAATAATAACAATAATAATAATAATAACAATAATAATAATAATAACAATAATAATAATAATAACAATAATAATAATAATAACAATAATAATAATAATAATAACAATAATAATAATAATAACAATAATAATAATAATAACAATAATAATAATAATAATAATAATAATAATAACAATAATAATAATAATAATAATAATAATAATAATAACAATAATAATAATAATAACAATAATAATAATAATAATAATAATAATAATAACAATAATAATAATAATAATAATAATAATAATAATAATAATAATAACAATAATAATAATAATAATAATAATAATAATAATAATAATAACAATAATAATAATAATAATAATAACAATAATAATAATAATAACAATAATAATAATAATAACAATAATAATAATAATAACAATAATAATAATAATAATAATAATAATAATAATAACAATAATAATAATAATAACAATAATAATAATAATAATAATAACAATAATAATAATAATAACAATAATAATAATAATAATAATAACAATAATAATAATAATAATAATAATAATAATAATAATAATAACAATAATAATAATAATAACAATAATAATAATAATAACAATAATAATAATAATAATAACAATAATAATAATAATAACAATAATAATAATAATAACAATAATAATAATAATAACAATAATAATAATAATAATAATAACAATAATAATAATAATAACAATAATAATAATAATAATAACAATAATAATAATAATAACAATAATAATAATAATAACAATAATAATAATAATAACAATAATAATAATAATAACAATAATAATAATAATAATAACAATAATAATAATAATAACAATAATAATAATAATAATAATAACAATAATAATAATAATAATAACAATAATAATAATAATAATAACAATAATAATAATAATAATAATAATAACAATAATAATAATAATAATAATAACAATAATAATAATAATAACAATAATAATAATAATAACAATAATAATAATAATAACAATAATAATAATAATAACAATAATAATAATAATAATAATAATAACAATAATAATAATAATAATAATAATAATAACAATAATAATAATAATAACAATAATAATAATAATAATAACAATAATAATAATAATAACAATAATAATAATAATAATAATAATAATAATAATAATAATAATAACAATAATAATAATAATAATAATAATAATAATAATAATAATAATAATAACAATAATAATAATAATAATAATAACAATAATAATAATAATAATAATAACAATAATAATAATAATAACAATAATAATAATAATAACAATAATAATAATAATAACAATAATAATAATAATAATAATAACAATAATAATAATAATAATAACAATAATAATAATAATAATAATAACAATAATAATAATAATAACAATAATAATAATAATAATAATAATAACAATAATAATAATAATAATAATAATAATAATAATAATAATAATAACAATAATAATAATAATAATAATAACAATAATAATAATAATAATAACAATAATAATAATAATAATAATAATAATAATAATAATAATAATAATAACAATAATAATAATAATAATAATAATAATAATAATAATAATAATAACAATAATAATAATAATAATAATAATAATAACAATAATAATAATAATAATAATAATAATAATAATAACAATAATAATAATAATAATAACAATAATAATAATAATAATAATAACAATAATAATAATAATAATAACAATAATAATAATAATAACAATAATAATAATAATAATAACAATAATAATAATAATAACAATAATAATAATAATAATAATAACAATAATAATAATAATAATAACAATAATAATAATAATAATAATAATAACAATAATAATAATAATAATAATAATAATAACAATAATAATAATAATAATAACAATAATAATAATAATAACAATAATAATAATAATAACAATAATAATAATAATAATAATAATAACAATAATAATAATAATAACAATAATAATAATAATAACAATAATAATAATAATAATAACAATAATAATAATAATAATAATAATAATAATAATAATAACAATAATAATAATAATAACAATAATAATAATAATAACAATAATAATAATAATAATAATAACAATAATAATAATAATAATAATAATAATAATAATAATAATAATAACAATAATAATAATAATAACAATAATAATAATAATAATAATAATAACAA